TTTTTTTTTTTTTTTTTTTTTTGTTGCTATTGCTAACATTTTTGTGGTTTCTCTGTGGCATCAGGCTTCAGGCACCAGGCACCCTCTCTCCTGGAAAAGCCAGCATTCTTGTATGTGTTTATATTTGAAAGTTCTTGAATGTTGTTGTAGATACTTGATTTTATTGTCAGATTAATTATTTGTTACCATTTGAAAGGATTAGTTTTTCAAATAATTTTTTGAATTAACTTGCAATTTCATGGTATTTTGGTCTCTTGTTATCTAATATTCTTGATACATTTTTCATAGCCATTTTTTTGTTCTGCTTCTGTCACAATGTTTTTGTCCAACAATAACAGTTCTATGTGAGTATGTGTAATGTCTTTCTGTTAAGAACAATGTGTTCTATTCCTTCTGTTAAGGACAATGTGTTCTATTCCTTTTAGTTTCCTTCTGAATTTCTTTTCGTTTCCTTTATGCATAGATTTTGAAGTTCTCCCCCTTTTTTGATAAAGATTCTACGGAGTTTAACCTGAGAGATTATTTTGGTATGAGTTGTTGCTTCCAATCACCTTTACCTTTATTTACATTTATCTGTGATGAACTTGACATTTATACGAATACAAGTAATGAAGACCTTTTGGTAAAAGCAATGAGGTTCCTACTTTCTACATATTTTTTTAAGCATGTCAATGTCTTCCTAAATAGGTGACCAATTCTGAATATTTAATAGTCATCACGATTCAGTACGTCTAGTAGGAAGTAGGAACATACATGTTATCAATTGTTGTTTGGAAATATTAATCAGTCAGACCCGTCTTCACTGTCCGAACTTCCTATCACATTAGTCTTTTAGAAGTATTTATCACTAGAATGCTCATAATAATCCTTACAATCAGTTGAAATCAAAATATAATTGTACCTATGAAATCTCTAGTTCTTGTTAGGTCCTGAATAGTTTTTGGTGAATCGTATATTAGAAATCATGGACAGACTTCAACTGCCAGAATGTCTGACCAAAATGATAAATTACATATGATTGGAATGTTCATGAGTTTAGCTATAGAAATTCATAATGCTTACACAGAAAATCGTAGTGAAGAGAGAAATTATTACTCGATTGCTTCTTATAGTGTTTTAAGCATAGAGGCCTAGAAAACTAGAAAGAAATAATTAGTTAACGCGAGGTTTCAATGGCTTTAATACTGAATATAAAGTATATGGTTGTGAACTCAGGATTCTAAAGTCTAAAAAGTATTTAGAATATGTGCGAAGCTTAAACAAAAAAAGATTCAAATCTGAATGTTTTTAAGGTTTAAGCTTGTTTTTAACGTGGTGTTGAATCGAATTAGTAAATGAAGTCCATTTGCATGTAGCTTATATTATTACTTGCACAGTGTCAGAACAAGATTTCGAAATGTTTGGAAGTATGATATACAGACTAGTAGATTCAAAACAGGGTTCATAAAAGTCACATCAACAATGACTTTTGAATGTTGACAATATAAAACTTTTATACTAACAAATTACTAATACATAATCATTGAACTCAAAAGGAGTACAAGTATTTAGAATTATTCAAAACCAACAAAAGAACTGTGAAATCAGAGTAATATAAACTTGTGGCATTTCATTACACGAGCAAGTTTTCATAATATTTTGTTCTAATCACTGTTGTATAACTTGTATTCTACTGAATGCTCAAGTGTTACTTTTAATGAATCCCTATTTTTATTTGCGGCTAACACACCATTTACCAGACTATATAAGTTGGATTTTGTCTCGAGCAAAATGATAGCACGCCGATAAACAAATAAGTACAACAACTAATTCTTACTTTATGTTTGGACGAGAAAATTTAAGAAATTTAAAATTTTTAAAATTTAAATCACTTTAATTTTAATTTTCATCATTTTTTTTAAATATTTTGTTTGTTTGTGTGTGTGTTTTTAATTTAACCAGTAATAGTAAAAAAAAATAAGTAATTGAGCTATTATATTGATTACATTCAAAATTTCTTTTTCTTATCTTTCATTTTAGAGAGCATTTGGTACATGGAAAGTTTCTGGCTACCAATGAATCTAAATTGAGAATTTTGAATTTTTATGTTTGATTTATTGTTTTATAACATTATGAAAAAATATTTTTTTTATAGATTTTTTTATAAATTTCACACAAAATTATTTTCATGAGACGAGGTAGAATGTAACCTTTATCAAGTTGGGAGAAAAGCTATAGGGCTATAGGAATATCATGTTTGTTAATTTAATGCAACAAAGATCTTTGATTTTTAAGTAACATATAAAAATGTTCTTTATTTTTTTAGAACTTTTACTATTAATCAAATAAATTTTAATCATTTTTAGAAATAAAAAAATCTCATCTAGAATGATGGTCATCTCCCCCAATCAACAGGTAGCAGGAACTAATCCCCTTTATCATTACTCAATCAAAGTAGACAAAATGTCTTGTTGATCACACTTGTTGAACTACTAGCCCAAACCAGTGATGAATCCAAAAAAAAAACTTGTTTAGTAGGGACAATAAAATATTTCATAATAATTTTATAAAAATATATGACAACTTATAGAAATACATATTTTTGTAATACAAAATCTAAAACATATATTTTTTTATAAATCACAATTTTCTTTCAAATATAGTAACGTTTTTTTTCTTCTTTTTCTATTTAAGATTATATTAAAGTGTGAATTTGTGATTTTTGTGACTTATTTATTATTAAAGGAATAAAATGGTAAAAATTAAAAGGATAAAATTAGTATTAACTTATTTTTTTTATCTCTTATAAATTTCTACATTCATTTAAAATAATTATTTTATGAGAGTAATGCTTATTTTTTGTAGGAGCGATTTTTTTTATTATATGTGTTTAATTTAAAAAAAAAACTGTGGACAATTACTCTACTCCTCTCAAAATAGATCCACTCTTACCAACACACAATGTAACATATAAGATTGAAAGAGTAAAAAATTAAAATAAAAATTAGAAATAACCTTTTTTCCATAATCTAATGACAACTTTAATAAATATATCACAAACCTTTTTGTCAAATTATAATAATAATAATAATATAGTATGACAATAATAGAATAAAATGTGAATGAAACACTGATATATTATAACATTAAATATAGTATGACAATAAAACATAACTAATATACATATATATATATATATATATTGATAAACAATAAAATTTTAGTGGGGACAATTATCCTCACTGTTGTGGCTGTGCATCTGTTCCTAACCCAAACCTCTATATGTATCTCATCATGTCCTGATGATTAGTCTTAAAGAACAACTCCTTCTTATGCTTGACCACCTTTAGCTCGTGTTGGTCTTGTCCTATGATTTGTGAAAATCTTTAGAAGGAACTAGATTGTTGTAATTTCTCCTTCAAGTTTCTTCTTAGATCTTTTCCTTCTTGACACTCCTTAAGCTTGTTCAAGGTCTCTAATGGAGTAGGAAACCTTTGGAATCACCTTCAATAGTGAAGGACTCTCTTCAGGTGGTGCCACTTTAAGGAAGAAGATAAACCACTTCAAATCTCACCACACTCTTAAGAAGAGGATAAGAGAATTGGAAGTAAATCAAAGAGAGATTTAAGCTTTTGAGAGAGAGAACACTAGAGAGAAATCTTGGCCAACTCCAATAATACTCAAAAACTATGTACAAATGGTTCCAAACACCTATATATAGAGCTTAGGTATCTTGGAGAAGAAGTTCGACATCTAGGAGACAAGGAGATACTTAGATCTAGTTCCATCAATCATGAACAAGCTCTAGGAGACATGTAGATCTAGAAGATCTAATGAGCAAGTGTCAGGTATCCTCTTGTTTCTAGGTGGTTGGAGAAGTAGTTTCAAGGTGAGATAACACATACTCTATGCTCATGATAAGCACATGCCTAAGAAGCACATCCTCTTTAGTAACTTCTTCTAGCCTCCTAACCAAAGACCTTGTCAAAGGTCCTATGATCTTTAAGGATGATCCTTCATAAAAGACTCTAACACTATAAACAAAACACTTATTATCGACGGACTTTTTCTCACGGATAAATTTTCGTCTGAAAAACAACATTATCGATGGATTTTTTCGAAGGATATGTGTCCGTCTGAAATATAATTAATTTTAACGGATATTACCCACGGATTTTTTCCGTCTGAAATTTCATATGGATATTATCCACGAATTTTTTTTTCTGAAATTTCAGATGGATATTACCCACGGATTTTTTGCGTGGGAAAATTATGATGTTTTAGACAGATATTTACCACGGATTATCTATCTAAAACATTGTTCATAAAAAATATATCATAATTAGTTTTTACAATTTTTTATATTTACGATTACAAGTAAATGTGAAAATAAATTAGGTTAGACTAAATTTTATTATAACTTAATAGGTTTGAACCTAATTTTTAAAAAAAGTATATATCCTAAATATGACTTATTTATCTATCATAGACATTTTTTAAATTTTTGGTTAGAATTATAACCCTAAAGACCTACTTTATAATAATTCACTATTAAAAATATAAAATAAATATGTTAAATTTTATAAAAATCAAGTTTAATTTATTTATGATATAAACATGTTTTTAATATCTAATACGTATTTTTAGATGATAATTTATTTTATATTTTATAATAACAATT